GATTGCGACAACCATTGTCCTTTGGCGTTCGATAATTGGTATCCTTACGATCATGGAAATACGCCGATGTAAGCTCTACCATTCATTTACATGGCCTGGCCTAAAGGAATTAGGCAGTGTGTGATCGCATGCGTCTGAGCCGACGTCTTACTAAAAGGACAAACAGGTGTTGCGATGAGCCTGAAAAGATAGCAGCGTGTAGTCCCGAAGGCTGCGGCTGTCACGATCTAGAGGAATTTCGCCTTTCATTGTCAATTCCGTCGTCAGCGCCTACTACATCGACTACCCCATCAACTTCATCCCCTTCACCAACAAACTCATCAGTGACCGACACGATCACGACCACGACCCCCAAGACAAGAACTCCAGCAGCAGCAGCAACAAACACAGCCGGACCTTCTTCTGGTGGCCTATCTACAGGCGCCAAAGCAGGCATAGGCGTGGGTGCAGTCCTAGGAGCCGCAGCACTGTTTGGGCTCGCCTTATGGCTTGGGTGGATCTTGCGCAAGCGACGCAAGAGCGCAGTAGACCTGCCCACAGAAGAGACCAAGGCGAAGAATAATACCCATAACACCTTGGGGTCTAATCGAGGAGCATATGAAGGTCCAGGAGAGCATCCTGGGACGACGAGTAACTATGAGCTGGACGGTAGGCAGATACCTGTGGAGGCTAGTGACTGAAGTGGATGTGATTTAGTGATGTATCTGGATGCCATGTTTTGGTCACTGTTCCGGTAGTGTTCGCGAATTCTGAATCTTGAGTGAGCAGTGCATGCACTGATTGGAGTGCACGAGCTTGATTGGAGGTTGGGAATAGAGATACCTGAGCAGGCTTGCTGTATTTCGGGACCATAAAGTAACTTCGCGTGGTTGACAGCTGAGCACAATGCGACCTTACCCGTTTAGGACTAGGCATCTGGCTGTCCAGTGTCACTACCACAATCTGTGGTATTTCGCATGATACAATAGATTCAAGTAAGGGAACAATGCATCTAGTGGACCTTAGCCTAATCCTTCTCGTGAACCTAGTGCTAGGTCCTCACATGCTGCTAGTGTCCACAGTGCTGTGGGTTGGGCGGCGCAGGATGGGCAAGCTGGGAAAGGGCCTTTTGTCTTGTCGAGAAAATTTGCCTCAACAGCAGCTCGAAGCGCGCAGGCATGCAGGAATGATGCCTGAAAAGTCTGATCTGCGGCTGCCGTTCTCCATGCGTGCAAACTTAGGTAGCCATCTCCGGCGGCGCTAGGAAAGTTCCCTGCGGTCTGGGGAAGCAGCGATAACGGCGCAGCGAAATTTGTTGCTTCCGCGTCATATCTCAGGACCCATTTGGTCCCTCACGGCTCCACAGTCTAGTCACCGCAGCAATTCGCGTTGGATTAAGTCGCCCAGGGCCCGAGCAGCGACTGCGACTGCTTCTGCTTCTTGGGAGCGACACTCACCATGCAGAGCTTTGTACGAGCCGGCCGTGTGGCTGCCCGATCCTCCTCCCGCGTCCTCGCCCGTCAGACGCCGCGAGCCCTCCCGCGAGCCCTCGTCGCTAGCAGCACCCCGAGCCGCCTGTACACGACGTCCAAGGATGGCCGCAACTCGTCCATCTACGCCGCCTTCCTCAACCTGCTGGCCAGCTCCAGCTCCCGCCGCGAAGTCGACCAGTACCTCGGCCAGTTCCGCTCCGTCTCGCCGCACCAGTTCGCTGTCGTCAAGGTCGGAGGCGCCATTCTGACCGACCACCTCGAGGAGCTATGCTTTGCCCTCCAGCAGCTGCACGCCATCGGCCTGTACCCCATCATCGTCCATGGCGCCGGCCCGCAGATGAACCAGCTGCTGCTCGACTCGGGTGTCGAGCCCGACTTCATTGACGGCATACGCGTAACCGACAAGAAGACGCTGGGCATTGCGCGCAAGCTGTTCCTCGAGGCAAACATGGATCTGGTCATGACGCTGAAGAGGGACTGGGGCGTGCCCGCGCGGCCCATCACCGCGGGTGCCCTGCAAGCCGACTACCTGGACAAGGAGAAGTGGAAGTACGTCGGAAACATCACCACCGTCAACAAGAGGCAGATCATGGATGCCCTGGAGAACAAGGAGCTGCCCATCCTGTGCTCCATGGGCGAGACGCTCGACGGCCAGATTCTCAATATCAACGCCGACGTAGCTGCCGCCGCTCTGGCGCGCGAGTTCCAGCCCCTCAAGGTCATCTACCTCTCTGAGAAGGGAGGACTGTTCAACGCTGAGTCCAAGCTCATCCCCCACATCAACCTGGAGGGCGAGTACGACACCTACATGAAGCAATCATGGGTTAGATACGGCACGAAGCTTAAGATAGTGGAGGCCAAGAAGCTCCTGGACGGTCTCCCGCGCACGTCGAGTGTAGCCATCACCCACCCCTCGAACCTCGGAAAGGAGCTGTTCACCCACACCGGAAGCGGCACACTTATCCGCAACGGCGGCAGTGTGAAGGAGACCAGCAAGTTCGAGGATTTGGACGTCCCTGCTCTGCAAGAGGCTATCACCAAGAGCAAAGCCGCCGACGCTGCCGATGCGGTCAACAGATATATCCAGAACCTCAAGACGCGACCATTTGAGGTCTTCCATGATGATTCCATGGGCGTCGTTGCCGTCGTTTACCCACCGACTGCCGACGGTGAGTTCGCGCAGCTTTCGCACTTCAGCATGACCAAGGATGCCTTCCTGAACAACCTGAACGACTTGGTCTTCCAGCGCATGAAGCAAAAGTACCCCAAGATGTACTGGATTGTAGATGACCAATCGCAAAACTACGTCAAATGGCACTTGGAGAAGACGGATGGCTTCCTCCGCCGCGAGAAGGAAGTCTTCTGCTGGTGGGGCGCGGCTGAGTCTTCTGAGATCTTCTCGCTCCTCGAGAACTACCAGAAGCAGGGTCGCAGCATGCTCAAGGACAGCTTAGATGCTCAGTTCCGACGGGCGGCCGACTTTGTTGCCAGTTTGAAGCAGGGCCAGCAGACGCGTGGCTACGCGACCATTGCTGGCCAATCTGCAAGGCCTCAACTTAGACAAAACAGGACCCTTCCTGCGTTGTCCCGAGGCTTCGCTACCACTGCATCGCGCTCAATGGATACCACTAACCCTAACCCACCATACGGTATCAAGCACAAGCACAGGGACTACCCTGCCAAGGTTGCACTGATTGGTGCGCGAGGCTACACAGGGCAAGCTCTTATCGAGCTGCTTAACAAGCACCCCAACATGGACCTGCGTCATGTATCATCACGTGAACTCAACGGCAAGAAGCTTGAAGGTTACACCAAGCGACAGATCACCTACGAGAACCTGTCACCCGAAGATGTGAAGAAGATGGCCGAGAACGGTGAGGTCGACTGCTGGGTCATGGCCCTCCCCAACGGCGTGTGCAAGCCCTTCGTCGATGCCATCAACGAGAGCGGCAAGGAGACTCTCATTGTCGATCTGAGTGCCGACTACCGTTTCGACGAGAGCTGGACATACGGCCTACCAGAGACCGTTGACCGCGCCAAGATCTCCGACGCTACACGCATCGCCAACCCTGGATGCTACGCCACAGCTGCTCAACTCGGCATTGCGCCTCTGCTTGAGTTCATCGGCGGTCAGCCAACCGTCTTCGGTGTCTCAGGCTACTCCGGAGCCGGCACCAAGCCCAGCCCCAAGAACGATGTCAAGAACCTCGAAAACAACCTCATTCCCTACAGCTTGACAGACCACATCCACGAGAAGGAAATCTCACGGCAGCTAGGCACTGAGGTTGCCTTCATCCCCCACGTCGCAGTCTGGTTTCAGGGTATTCATGTAAGTTTCCTATTCCCTCGCACCTAACCTCCTCGCCATCGCGTTACTAACATCCAATTCCAGCACACCATCTCCATCCCCCTCAACCGCACAATGACATCCCGCGACATCCGCAACCTCTACCAGGACCGCTACGCCGGCGAGAAGCTCGTCAAGATTGTCGGCGAGTCCCCGCTCGTCAAGAACATCTCTGGCAAGCACGGCGTCGAAATCGGTGGTTTTGCCGTCCACAGCTCGGGCAAGCGCGTCGTCGTCAATGCTACGATTGACAACCTGCTCAAGGGCGCTGCGACGCAGTGCTTGCAAAACATGAATTTGGCGTTGGGCTACGGTGAGTATGATGGTATTCCGTACTAGGCGTATGGACGTCTTGAGGAATTGGAGTGGGCGGATGGGTGTTGGTGGGTTGGATTGGAGGATTGACGGATTGGTGGATTTGGGGCATTGGTAGGAAAGAGGAACAAGCATCATGGTTTCTTAACATGGAAAATAAGGAACTATCGGCGCATTTCGTACGTTTGTGTGTATACGCTAGACAGGAACTTCTTTTTAAGAGAGTTGAGAAGTTGTAGATATATCCAATTGCAAAGCGTGTGTTCAAAATTTGGCCCTCTTGCACATTGTCTGTTGACGACGACTCAACGCAGCCCAGGTATTACCGCGATAGAAAATGAACATCCCATATTCATCGGCACCCGCCTTCTTTTCTCACAACGGCGGACCTCGCCATGCTAGGCGACAAGCGACCTGACAGCTCACGTGCGTATAGCAGGTCGCCGCCCAGGCGTGGGGTGGGGCAATGGAGGGGCAAGAACGCGAACTACGGCCATCGGCGAGCTCCTGCACGCGGAGCCTCCACTGCCTATGCAACCTAGACCGCGTACGAAGATAAGGGACAAACACGTTGATGCTGATTCGCCAAAGCCACTTTGTCCACCAACTAGAGTACTTAACTAACTCATGTAATACACGCTCCCGATGCTCCACGCCGCTGCAATCCCTCATGCCGCCGCGCTTGCCATAACTAGTTTGCTTATTCCCCACAAGCGACGGACAGGACCCTGAACAGCTAGAGGGTCAAGCGTGTGATACCTACTGTGACATCTTGCCTTTTCTCTCTTTCCTCCAACCTTCTAGCTTTTGTTTGTCTTTTTGGTCTCTCTTTTCTTCCATCGTTGACAGCACCGCGGGTGGCAAACATGGCGCCTGGTCTCATATCCCCACAACCAGCCGTGTCGAGCGATGCGACCAAGTCGCTGAACGAAGTCACGGCCGATTACGATGATACACTCCGGTTTTATCTGAATGGCACAAAGGTCGTGTTGGATAGTGCGGATCCTGAAGTTACGCTGCTGGAGTACTTGAGGGGGATTGGGTTGACGGGGACGAAGTTGGGGTGTGCGGAGGGTGGGTGTGGTGCTTGTACTGTGGTATGTTTGCTACTTTGTTTTGACTCGTGGTTGTGGTGGAGGACTCTGGGTTCAAAATTAAACGACAGTGAATCTTGGTTCTGGGACTATCGGAGAGATTGGTTAAGATATCAAGGGCGAGAACTGACAACTTGCAGGTTGTATCGCAATTCAATCCCACAACGAACAAGATCTACCACGCCTCCGTAAACGCATGCCTCGCACCTCTCGTCAGCGTAGATGGCAAACACGTCATAACAGTGGAAGGGATTGGCAACGTGAAGCGGCCACATCCTGCACAGGAGAGGATAGCGAAGGGCAATGGCAGTCAATGCGGTTTCTGCACACCAGGCATCGTAATGTCATTATATGCTCTCCTCCGCAACAACGTTGGACCGAGCGAGCTCGAGGTTGAGGAAGCCTTCGATGGTAACCTCTGTCGGTGTACTGGATACAGGCCGATATTAGATGCGGCGCAGAGCTTCAGCGTAAAGTCAGGCTGCGCAAAAGCAAAGGCGAATGGTGGTGGAGGATGCTGTATGGACAAGGACGGTGCGAATGGCGGAGGTTGCGGCAAGAACATTGATGACGGCCAACCGATCAAGCGATTCACACCACCTGGGTTCATCGAGTACAAGCCAGACACAGAGTTGATCTTTCCCCCACAGCTACGGAAACACGAGTTTAAGCCGTTGGCATTCGGTAACAAGAAGAAGAGGTGGTTCAGGCCAACGACCTTGCAACAACTACTGGAGATTAAGGACGTTTATCCCTCCGCAAAGCTTATCGGTGGCTCGACTGAAACACAAATCGAGATCAAATTCAAGGGCATGAACTACAATGCTTCAGTCTTTGTCGGCGACATTGCGGAACTACGGCAGTTCAAACTCCACGACGACCATCTCGAAATTGGTGGAAACGTTGTGCTCACAGATTTGGAAGAGATCTGCAAAGACGCTCTCGAGCATTACGGGCCAGTACGGGGCCAGCCATTTGCTACCATTCTGAAGCAAATACGGTATTTCGCTGGACGACAAATTAGGAATGTGGGTACACCCGCTGGTAACCTGGCAACAGCGAGTCCTATTTCCGATTTGAATCCGGTGTTTGTTGCGACGAACGCGACTCTCATAGCAAAGAGCCTCAAGGAGACGACGGAGATTCCCATGTCCACTTTCTTCAAGGGATATAGGCAGACTGCACTACCTCCGGATGCCATCATTGCGGGGTTGAAGATCCCGGTTGCGAAAGAGAAGGGTGAGTACATCCGCGCGTACAAGCAGGCAAAGAGGAAAGATGACGACATTGCTATTGTGAATGCCGCTTTGAGGATATCACTGGACGATCAGCACACAGTCGAGAGCGTGGATTTTGTGTACGGTGGCATGGCACCTACGACGATCCACGCGCGCAAAGCAATGGACTTCCTCCAAGGGAAGAAGTTCTCTGATCTCCCAACACTGGAGGGCGTCATGGATAAGCTTGAAGAAGACTTCGATTTGCGCTTCGGTGTTCCGGGTGGTATGGCGACATACAGAAAGTCTCTCGCGCTCGGCTTCTTCTACAAGTTCTACCATGAGATCCTGGCTGAGCTGCACGCTGAGGAAGTTGAAGTTGATACACATGCAATCGGCGAGATTGAAAGAGATATCAGCTCGGGCAAGAAGGACGACAAGGCGGCTGAGGCCTACATCCAGAATGAAGTTGGGCAGTCGAAGAACCATGTCGCGGCTATGAAGCAGTGCACTGGAGAGGCACAGTACACGGATGACATTCCCCTGCAAAGAAACGAGTTGTATGGCTGCTTGGTACTTTCAACAAAGGCACACGCCAAGCTACTCTCCGTCGATGCCGAACCCGCACTAGAACTTCCCGGTGTTGTCACGTACGTCGACCACAAGGATCTTGCATCTCCAGAAGCCAACTGGTGGGGTGCGCCGTCCTGCGATGAGACATTCTTCGCTCTCGACGAAGTCTTCACTGCTGGTCAGCCAATTGGTATGATCTTGGCTGACACAGCGAAACATGCAGAGCAGGCCGCACGTGCTGTCAAGATCGAGTATGAAGAGCTTCCAGCTATCTTCACAATTGAAGAGGCTATTGAGAAGGATAGCTACTTCAACCACTTCCGTCACATCCAGAAGGGAGATACCGAGAAAGCGTTTGCCGAGGCTGATCACGTCTTTACCGGTGTAGCGCGCATGGGTGGTCAAGAGCACTTCTACCTTGAGACCCAAGCATGTGTCGCCGTCCCCAAGCCTGAGGATGGCGAGATGGAGATCTTCAGCAGTACGCAAAACCCAGCCGAGACACAAGCATATGTGTCCAAGGTCGTCGGTGTCGCCGCCAACAAGATTGTCACCCGTGTCAAGCGCATGGGTGGTGGTTTCGGTGGTAAAGAGACTCGTTCAGTCCAACTCGCTGGTATCGTGGCCTGCGCAGCGAACAAGGTTCGTCGACCTGTACGCTGCATGTTGAACCGGGACGAAGATATCATGACTTCTGGACAACGGCATCCCTTCCTCGCTCGCTGGAAGGTTGCCGTCAACAAGGACGGTAAGCTGCAAGCCCTTGATGCAGACGTCTTCTGCAATGGTGGCTGGAGTCAGGATCTCTCTGGTGCAGTCGTCGAGCGATCTCTCTCACACATCGACAACTGCTACTCGATACCCAACATCCATGTCCGCGGACGTGTCGCGAAAACAAACACCGTCTCCAACACCGCATTCCGAGGCTTCGGCGGGCCACAGGGCATGTTCATCGCAGAGACCTACATGGAAGAAGTCGCCGACCACCTCAACATCCCCGTGGAGAAGCTACGAGAAATCAACTTTTACTCGCCCTCCACAAACATGGTCACGCACTTCAACCAAGAGATCAAAGACTGGTACGTCCCACTCATGTACAAGCAAGTCCAAGAAGAATCCGCCTACGCCCAACGCCGCGCCGAAATCGAAGAGTTCAACAAAACCCACAAGTGGAACAAACGCGGTCTCTCCATCATCCCCACCAAATTCGGCATCTCCTTCACCGCCCTCTTCCTCAACCAAGCCGGCGCCCTCGTCCACATCTACCACGACGGCAGCATCCTCGTCGCGCACGGCGGCACAGAAATGGGCCAGGGCCTACACACCAAGATGACGCAAATCGCGGCGGAAACCCTCGGCGTCCCCCTCGACTCCGTCTTCATCAGCGAAACCGCCACAAACACCGTCGCAAACAGTTCCTCGACCGCCGCCTCCGCCTCCTCGGACCTAAACGGCTACGCCATCCACAACGCATGTGTGGAACTAAACGCCCGCCTCGCCCCCTTCCGCGAAAAACTAGGCAAAGACGCCTCCATGAAAGACCTCGCCCACGCCGCCTACTTCTCCCGCGTCAACCTCTCCGCTCAGGGCTTCTACAAAACCCCTGATATAGGCTACGTCTGGGGCGCAAACACGGGCCAGATGTTCTTCTACTTCACCCAGGGCGTTGCCGCCGCTGAAGTTGAAATCGACACCCTCACTGGTGACTGGACGACTCGTCGCGCTGATATCAAAATGGATGTTGGAAGGAGTATTAATCCGGCGATTGACTATGGCCAGATTGAAGGCGCGTTTGTGCAGGGTCAGGGGCTTTTTACGACGGAGGAGTCACTGTGGTTGAGGGGTACGGGTGGGGTCGCGACGAAGGGGCCCGGGAATTATAAGATTCCTGGGTTTAGGGATGTGCCTCAAGTTATGAACGTCACTTTGCTTAAGGATGTTAACTGGGAGAATCTGAGGACTATTCAGAGGAGTAGGGGTGTTGGTAAGTCTTTTCCCGGTTTTTTTTTCCTGTTTCTTTCCTTACCCACCCGTCTTCCTTTATACCGTCACTGTTTACTGACTTGATACCACCAGGCGAACCCCCCCTCTTCATGGGCAGCGCTGTCTTCTTCGCTATTCGCGACGCGTTGAAAGCTGCGCGCACACAATTTGGCGAAACATCGCTTTTGTCGCTTACGTCACCTGCGACGGTTGAGCGGATAAGGATTAGTTGTGCGGATCCGATTTTGAAGCGTGCGTGGGTTGAGCCGAGGGAGGGGGAGAAGAGTTTCTTTATTAGTATTTAGGTATACCGGTGTGTTTGGGTGGGATGCTTGGGTGAAAGGTAGGCGTTGTGAGAAAGGATCAATGGGATTTCGATCTTGACATGTTGTTAATGCTGGCTATGTTGTGACGTGTGAGGACTAGACTGCGTGACATCGATTCTTGATGAGGATACATTGGAAGAACTTGCAGAACTGCACTCCTACGTCTCAAGCCAGACACCCGTGTATCCCTTATTCAACAGCATTATCATGTCGTACCACACACGTCCACAAGCTTCACAGATGCAAGAGAAGAAGTGTTGTTTGTTGAACTTGATTGAATAAACTCTCAGTATACACATCAGGGGGTATGTTATCTCCTGTCTACTCTTCCTCCTCTCCCATCTCCCATACCATTCATATGCCACCCTTCTACCGACAACAGCAGCGGCTTCTTCCACCACCGCCACCTCAACCCCTTCTCCCACATCTATGTCCTCTCCCATCTGCTAAACATTAAAAACGCCCGGATATATCAATATAAAAAGACAAGATTTCCTCATTCATCATTCCATCCCCAGTAGTCCCTTTGCCATATTTGCTCCCAAAAATATCCAACAATATCGAAAAAAAAAGATGAAAGCAGCAGAAATAGAAGCCAAGCGATGCATTACAAGAAAACAATTCAGATGATCGAAAGAAGAAAGGAAGAAGAAGTTGGGGTGATTGGAAGCTGTAAGGCGCCGCCCAGCAACTCCACCTCTGCACCAAAGACCCTGGAAAGAAGATGAGGGAAGAAAACGGGAAACAGAAAGGCGGTCTTGAGAAGTCTTGATGTTGCAAGTATGCTTTGTACAGGCGATGCATGGAAGAACAGATGCCGTGATATACAGAGTTGCGCGCGCCGTTTATATGTGAGAAGGTTGGAAAAGATTCTTTGCCGACGAAGCCGCTGCTGAAAGGGGATCGTTCAATGGACAACTGGACGGGCGCAGTCGAAGCGAGCGACGGGCGGCTTGTCTATCGGCGCGACGGCGGTGCGTTGAAGTAGTGGCCCCTAGTTCCAGGAAACCGGACAGTCGCACGCAGGCCAGATAACATCTTGGGTCCCCGAGTAAGGCGAAGGCGAAGGCATGTGAGATTCGAAATGTCGTAAACGCCCCCGGCTCCATGCAAATGCTAATGTGGCCTTCGAAAAGGTCGAAAAGAGGAAACGATGATCTATAATTAACGTGCTTTTTTGCGAGGGAACTCCAATCTTGAGGGGTATTCGTCGTACTGCCATGGCCACGTAAGGTAGTCGACACAAGGGAAGTGATGACAACAGAGACCGAAAGCCAGCAGTCTCTGGGAAGTTGCAGGTCACTAAGTCTCTACTTCTGCCTTGCAACCATCCATGAAGGAGTTCTTGGGCCAGTCGTACTTGCTGGATTTCCTGGTTCATGTTAGTACTATCATAACAGATGTGATGTATGGACTTACCAGTCAGTGATGTTAGGGTTCGCATAAGGCTCAGGGTGGTTCCTGATGTAGTCGGTAGTAGGGTAGCCCTCGGGATCGCAAGTCATGATCTGGTTGTCCTTTGGCTGGTAGATGCGAATGTAGTCTATCCGCATCTTGGCCGGGAGGTCATGCGCCTCGATGTCCTCAATGTTGATGGCTGCGAAACTGTTCGACATTCCGAAGTTGGCAATGATGGACATTGGCTCTTCCGGGATGACTCGCGTTCCAATGTTACCGTTGGCACGCGTCGCTGGTGCGGACATGGTCCAGGTCTTGTCCTCTCCGACATACCAGGTGATGAAACCTTCGTCGCCGGTCTTGTACTCGAATGAGTATGTCTGATACTGCTTGCCGTTGTACCAGTCGTTGTTCAAGTTGGTCAACCCAGAGATAGCTTGCTGGAAGGGACCACCCTTGTAAGCGTTCATCGTGGTAATCGAGGTATCATAGAGTTCCATGTATTCTGCCAAACATTAGTTGAATCCGATCAAACGGAAGTGAGAGAATTTACCGTAGTCAGGCATGTACCATGTGTCGAACGGTGCTGCTTGGAAGGACTGAGACACGACACCAATGGCGTTGGACTCTCCAGGACCGAGGAAATGAACTGAACCTTCCAAAGCATCGATTTCCGGAGCACTGCGGGATTTGCCGGGACTGGGATGGTCTTGGCCATCGCAGGTGCAAGCGGGAAGCTTCATACCAGGCAAGTAGCTGAGACCGTCGTATGAACTCTGGTTCGGTGTGATACCAATGTCGCACTTGTCGTGGTAACTGTATGGCCAAAGACCCTCAGTCGAGGCGAGGTAACCGGGGCGAGCCAAGTTGCCCATAGTCCAGAAACCGGGCCAGAAACCACTCGTGTTACCACGACCAGGTAGCGAAATGCTGGCCTCCAAATGTCCACCCTTGTAGCAGAGCTTGTTCCACGACTGGATCATACCAGAGCGGTAATCGAGGCCGTGGCTCTTCTCTTTGGTGAATTTCAGGACAAGAACGCCGTCTTCGGTGTAGGCTTGATCTGGGTCGTACCACTGGAACATATCAGCGCTGCAATTTGAAGATGGCTATTTCGAAACTTACCTCCAAATCCATAGTAGCACCGTACCAAATGTCAACAGCTTGGAAGAATGGGTCATCTCCGTCGTAGAAGGTGCGACCGGGAGTGTTGAACTCGTCTGAGAAGACCAAGACCTGCTCCTCGCCGTTGTACGATGTTCGCGTCATGGCCTCCTTGGGCGTATCGGGGTCGATGAGGCCCTTTCGTAGGTTGTTCAGTAGCGGCTCGTTTTGCTTGCCTTCTATGCACAGGGGATTGTCTGTGCATGGACCTCGTTCTGGTGCCGTGAGATCCTCGACGAAGGTGCTGCGATGCGTTAGTAAAGTCGAATGTCGTCGGAATCGCATATACGTACAGAACGGGATAACCGATGAAAAGCATGAGAAGACCGAGCGCGAGAATAGCCAAACCACCCAAATTGACTATACCTCTCCGGGTGAAGACATCGCAGTCTCTCTTATCCTTCTCGTTCGGGTCGGGATTGTGCAGGTAGTCGTCCTTCTCCACGTCTTCTGGGAAGAGCAACAGTCCAGCCGATGGGTGGATGTTGAACTTCTCAGAGACAGTCTGGGTGTTGAGATCTTCTTCGCTGCCAGCCCGCGACGGCGCTCTCGAGTCGTCGAAAGGCGAAGCAAAAGGCCCTCCCGTCATGTCTGAGCTCCAACTTGTCCGCCGCGAGGAAAAGCCAGAGGGCGATTGCATGGGCGATTCGTCTCGGTAGGAGCGCTGCGTCCGGATCTTCTGCGGCGGGAGCAACATCTCGGCGGACTCTGCGATGGACGCATTGCTGTATACATCGGGCGCGCCGGGCGATCGGATGCCTTGACTTGGGGCGGTGCCAGGGCGGATTGGCTGGGTTAACGAGCGCGCCGAGTTGGTTCGTGCCGTGTTGGGGCGCACAGCAGGCATCGAGTTGTCGTCGGTCCTGGGCTCGTGGGAGCCCGAGTTGAGGCGGAGATGGGGCGGCCCGTCTCCCCTCGGCGATTGCGGCATCATGGTGCGAGGGAGCGTATGCGGTGAGGGTTGGCGATAATTCCTGGCTAGCTGCTATTCGGATAGCAGAGCGAAGTGAAGGTGATGAATCGGCGTAGGCGGTATGCAGGTGGAAAACGAGTGTTGCGGTAACCTATGGCACGCGGGTGGGCAAATTCCTAACAGGGGCTATGCTGCAGCTAGTGGTGTCAGGTAAAGCACGCGGGAAGCCGAATATCCTCCACTCGTGATGCGATGCTGCTCGGTATCGCTGCTGGGCGTCGAGGAGCAGGAAGGAGGGCGGCGTGAGGGAAATGGGGGAGGTCGAGGTTCAAGGGGAGGTGAATCGATGGCTCCTGGCCCAAACGGGGGCGCCCAGGATAAGGGACTTGGCAGGGCAGGCGCTGGTCAACGGCAGCAGGCGCGAATGACGGATGACGCAGGACGCACTGGGCTGGAAGGTGCAGATTAGAATGGCGATGGTAATGATGCGGGAAATAATGCAACAAAGAGAGGCACTGATATGTTGTGGGATAGTGACAGGAACACAACAAGCGACGGCGCCGTGGTCAGAGAGTGGCAAGCAGCGGTGGGTGGTGGGAGAGGTTAGGGCTTTGTTCCTGAGTCGGGCCCACACGGACTCCAGGGAGGGCGAAGATCTCGAAGCTCGACTAAGGAGCGGCCAATCGTCGCTGCCACGGCGCTTGCATGCGGCGAAGATTCAAAGGCCCGCTTACGCACACCAGCGGGAGAGCCTTGCTAAATTTACCAAGCCCGTTTCAACACTTTTCCACTGCCTCTCCTATGGTGGAGCCTGTCAAAAAGTACCCAAATTGCCATGTCATGCGTGAAGCCCGTCGTGCTGCTGTCTGTCTGTCTGCCTGTCACCCAAACTTTGACGCCTTCAACCAAGCCGTCATTCCCCTCAACACCCCTCACATGCAGCCTCTCCACGGTACACACGATTGTCTCTATAGAAACCGCCTGCATGCTGCATCGCAACCGCTAGCTCTGCATATCCCGCGCCTCAACACGGTATTCCAAGAATCCAAACGCGCATCCGCGTCTTTGCACGCGCAATCGATAGCCTAAGATCATCGTCTCTACCATTACGCGTCGGCCCATATATTATAACCGCAATCCCCCATCCTCGCAAGCGGCTTTTGCTACCGCACTTGTACCAAGGTACCATTTACAAGAACGTGCCTCGTGCTCACGACCGTTGAGAAACGTACATGTAACTTCACGATCTTATCTCGTGTTGACCAGGTCGCCCACCGTATCGCTGCCGAAGATAGCGTGGCGATCTGACACCATCCTTTTTGATCCTTCCCACGTCCCTCACCTTCTTTTCGGATCCCCGAGACATGCAATGGCCAATGCTCTGACCCATCCGTTTCGTCTCTACCGTTCCCTATCGTCGTCTGCATCTTAATCAACCCACTCCACGCCGGTCTGTCCAGCTTGCCGTCGTCCTAGGCTTCCCGACACGTATCGGTCGGCTTCC